TGATTTTTTAAATATTAAAGTTATAATACATTATGTTTTATTATAAATTTAATAAAYTGGTTCTCCTTTTTGTAGTATTAAGATTATGATAAATTCTGATTTCTTATAAAACTTAATGAATTTATTATGATTTTTAGTACTAAACTTATAATAAATTATGATTTAGTATAAAATTTAATAATTTTAGTCTGATTTTTTATATTAAATGTAGAATATGATTTATTATAAAATTTAATAAATATTTTAAAAAATACTAACTAGTTAATATTTKATTACTTGAAAAATATTTTATGTTTTATATTATAAAGTAATTAATTTATTCTTTTGTTTTTATATTTTGTTAATTCTTTTTTATAAATATTTTATTTGAAATATTAAATAGAAATTATTAATGGAATAATTTATAATAATATATTGTACTATAATAATATAATATACTAATATATCATATTATTAATGTACATTAGTCGATATCCTGTCGACATAATTGGAAAAACTGCCTTTTTTTGTTTATTTAGACCGATTTGGTCGACATTTTCAAAATATAGGAAATGTCAACCGAAATAATGTAATTTTTATATTACCATCCATTTTCATGTCGGTGAGCCTCGACATCAACATATGTCGGGCGACATTAGCGACATTTCGCGACATTTGAAACCATGGTTGAGGTTTCCTGAGGTTCTCTTGTTTCAGGTTTTTTTTTTTTTTTTTTGCGGGTTTTGTTCTTGGTGGAGAGCTTTGTTATTTCCAGTTTGCATGTCTTTTGTCAAGGAGGGGTGGATGGGATTTGGTTTCGTTTCATGTGATCTTTGGTCACCTTCCTTGTAATCTTTTTCTTTTTAATAATTTTTATTCTATCATGAAAAAATATGGATCTTGATATATTTGAAGACTAACCATATGAAGCCTCAATTTTGGTATTGTTACATTAATCTCAGATTTTGTCTCATTTTATATCATTATTTGGGTGGTTGCCTCGAACACCGTGGATCTCATCAGATGGTATCCTTTCAATTTTAAAAACAAAAGAATGAAGTTGGCATCATTGTTTTAATAGGCATGGTAGGCGTACGCCTGGAGGTGCGTCTCCAGGCGAGGCGCTCCCAAAACGCCTTGAGGCGTATGCCAGAGGCGCTGAAAACCTCTGAGGCGTATGCTAGAGTTGAGGCGCCCCCCTTTCAACTAATGTTATGCATCTTTATTCTTCTTAATATAAAAGATTTTTATTAAAATAAAGAAAAAATGAGATCCCCCCTCCTCTCAAGGAGGCTTATATGCTTCCTTGTGTACGGGAGGCTTGCACCTCTTGCGTTCTGAACTACGCCTCACTCCTCTAGGTAGTGGAATGCCTCGCGTCACACCTCCGCGTTTTAAAACATTGGTTGGCATGGCATTTGGTGAGAGGAATACAAGATTATTTGATCATGACAAGGAACTACAACCTGGGTAGTTCATAGAACCCATAAAGGTGAAGGCAGCTTACTGGGATAAATTGAATGATTGGGGTGGCACATAGTAGTTACATGTTCCGGCAGAAAAGGAAGGAAAGGAACAGTAGAGTCCTCCCCAGGGTTTAGTTTCTGAAATTAAATTTAGATGGGTGTAGCATGGCAGTCCTGGTGCTTCTAGAATTGGAAGAATATGAGGGTTGATTAAGGGCTTAGTTACTAGCAGTGTTAAAGGGCATAAAATTAGCTGCTAAGAACAGGTTGAGCAATATTTTGATTCAAGGGGACTGTCAAGTAGTCATCATCCTGGTTAAATGCAGGAAAGGAAGTGCCATTGGTTTTTAAACTTGCATTAGAGAGAGCATTTCTTTGGGAAGGCAACCAAACTGCTTGTTGAATTTGGTCCCAAGAAGTGTTAATGAAACTGCCTACAGATTAGTCAAATCAGCAGGTTTGTATCCTGTTACTTTGGGGTTATTCAGGACCAGGGTCTTGTTGTGACAATTTCATAGATATAGTTTATTTGAACTCTAGTCAGATAAGGCTACTTGTATTTTTATCTGACTCTTGGGGCCAGCAATCCTTTCTTGACGATGAATGAAATTCAATACTGTATTTATCAAAAAAATTAATCTTACAGCTATAAGGACAAGGTGGAATTTGGCCCCTTCTCTCATAGGAGTGTCTATGAAAGTTGGTTTTGTTTCCTTGTTTTTTATTCTTGTAACTAATACTCGTTATCATAAATAGGAAAGCAAAAAAAAGGTTCTCAAAAAAGACATAGATGTTCAAAAATTCCTACAAAGGAAAGGAGGCACAAAAGCATTAAACCCCTGGCAGACCTAGTTTGTTGAAAGTGCATGCGTGAAAATTGAGTTTAGCAGAACCCTTGCTGGGGCACCTCAGACTAGCATGCCAATGGCAAGTAGTAGACTAAGATGTCTTTAAGAAAGCTGCAACTATTGAATGATTTTGATGTGGGATGGTTCAAAAACCTCATGAGAGTGCTTTATGTCATGGAACCTAGTGGTTGTCCCAATGTATGGCAAGAAAAGGGAGAGTTGACCAACATGGTTCATTGTGTATGCAGATGTCAAATAAAATGTTTTGATAAAAGTTGGAGGCTCAAAAGAATAAAGGGTAGGCCAAAAGACATGTCGATTTAGTGGAAAAGAAATTTGGGACCTGCAAAATGAAAGAAGATAAGGCACCAAACAGAATGAAGGCTTTATGTACATGTATTAATATTATGCTTGCAGTGTTGGAGCTTTGGTTTTTGGGAGCCAGGCATATGGTTGTGTTCTGTTTTCTTTTTCCATAATCTTCTCCTTTTGTGTACAACTTGTATATATTATTCACTATCCATTAAAAATACTTTTATTATTCTCTGTCAATTCTCTTGTTCTCTTTGATGGTTTCTTTGATACCCGGTCAATTCTGAGGCCCCATCAATTCATGTATTCTTAGCTGGATAATGTGTATTTGCAGGGGGCCGGGTCCTGGTTATCGAGGCAAAGTTGTTCTAGCTTTTGAAGAGAATGGATCCTCTAAAGTTGGAGTTAGATTTGATAAAACAATTCCAGAAGGTAACACTCTTGGGGGCCTTTGCGAAGAAGACCATGGTTTCTTTTGCACTGGTGATTCCCTTTCTTTCCTTTGATATGGGTTGTCTCGTCTTTTGTTCAATACTTCAATATAATGCTGCTTTTTCATGGAACACTGTTTGATGGCAATCTCTTTTTTTTGCACTTTACAGCTGATTTACTTTGTCTAGAGAACTCAGGAAGTGATGATCTTGACAAGCTTGCCATCAATGAACTGTTTGAGGTAAATGTTTACCACTATGTATAAGTCAGTAGGATTTATGTAGTGTTTAATAAATTCTCTACGAGGTTTAATTTTAAGCATCCCCATGTCACAGCTTGCTTGTAGTGAAAGTAAAAGTGCCCCTTTGATATTGTTCATGAAAGACATTGAGAAGTCTATGGTAGGCAACCAAGAGGCTTATACAGCTTTCAAGACTAGGCTTGAAAATCTACCAGAGAATATAGTTATTATCGGCTCACATACTCAGCTTGACAACCGTAAGGAGAAGGTAAGAAGTTGGTACTTTTTCTTTGTAATTTTTTAAGTATTTCTTCTTGAATTCTTTTGGTAGTGGAGCACAACCCCTGGATGCTGACTATTACTAATTGTGCAGTCACACCCTGGTGGCCTTCTGTTTACAAAATTTGGAAGCAGTCAAACAGCTTTACTTGACTTTGCTTTTCCGGTACTGTTAAATCATATTCAGTTTTGGTGTTTCTTGTAGCAATTGTATCTTAACATTCAATGTGTTTCTATCTTGTACCATTGCCTTACAAATTTTATCCTATTATTGTTTAGATTGTGATTTTTTTTGTGAATATTGGCCATGATTATTTTGGATAATGAGTTTGAAGTTTGATCTGTTTTTGTTCTAGCAGTCTTCTAACCTGAACTTCTCTTTTGTACATGTGTTGGTCTTGTCTTTATACATATCAAATATACTATACATGCTCTCTTTTGGAGTTTTCTTCCCCTCACTTAATATAATATGGCATCTTCACTTGATCAGAAATACGTATACAATATATTAAATCAACTATTCTCTCAAAAAAAACTAAATCAACTATAACTTTTTTTTGAAGAGTAAATGAAAATGTTATTAAATAAAAAAGATACAATCAGTAGGTGACAAGGTGACACCTAACTTGCAAAACCAAACAACTCTGACCTAAACAACATGAGCTAAAACAAAACTTTGACAAATTACAAAGACTGAATTTCAAGTACATTCCAGAAATTCTCCCCCAAATTTGTCCTATCAAAGTCTGGAAGCACCCAGACCCAGTCTGCTACTAGATTCCCCACTAGAGCTACTAGAGCTTCAGATTTTTTTTTTTAATTTTATCTTCAAAAATCCTTTTGTTTCTTTCAATCCACAGAGTCCATCATATGGCAAAGGGAGTGCAGCTCCAAATTATCCTTGCTTTCGTGCTTCCCCCAAGTCTTGGCCAAGAAGAGAAAAGTTCTGCTGTTGAGCTTGGCTAAAATACTCCTTGTCCAAAGGGGGATGAGTAGAATTTCCAAATGATATTTGCTGTCTTACAGGAGAAGAAAAGATGTAAGACAGACTCTTCCTCCAAACAGCACATAACACAGAAGTAGGCTTAAAGGGAAAGGTGGGTCAAAGTTTTCAACAAGGCCCTTTGGGTAAGTGGTTGTGGAGATTTAGGCTGGAAAGGGAGAGGGAGTCTCTTTGGAGGAGGGTTGTGGTTGGGAAGTATGGGCTGGTGAGGTTCGGACGGGAGTCGAGGGAGGTTACTATCTCTTATGGGGTGAGTGTCTGGAAAGGGATAATGCCATTCAACCAAGAGTTCAAAGCTTTAGTTAGATTCAAAGTGGGACATGGGTCAAGTATTAGATTCTGGGAGGATGAGAGTGATGTCAGGTGTTCCCGAAACTTTACAGGCTGACTGAACATCACATTCAGAAGACCTCTGCTGGATCAAGAGATAGAAGAATGTATTTAGCTGCTGGAAAAACTACAGAAAGTTAAGCTGTCACTCTCTTCGAGGGATGGGATGTTGTGGAAAGAATGAAATAGCAGGGTTTTCACTGTGAAATCTTTCTATTTGGCACTGGTAAAGGATCAGTTGGGTTCAGATCATGTGGGAGGGGTCCCGGGGAACCCCATTCCACTGAGAGTAGAAGCCTTTCCTTGGTTGGTTGCCTTGGATAGTGAACTAAATCAACTGTAACACAGAATAATAGTTCTTTGCAGTTGCATTTTTTTCATTGGTGATAAATCTAATTTACCAAGGGCCTATAAAAGAAATCCAATTTACCCAGGAACTCAAAAGAGTGTGGGCCTTGGCATAACAGTTGGGTTGCTACATTGCAACTTGGGTGACCAGGGTTCATATATTGGAAACAGCCTCTCCATATGTGGCAGGGGTAAGGCTGCATACATGTTTCCCTCCCCAGACCCCACATTGGTTGGAGCCTCGTGCACTGGGCTGCCCTTTTACCAAGGAGTGCAAAGGCAAACATATGGAGCATTCAATTCCTCTCAAAAGAGAATGTGTTATGTGCTCTACTAAATGGGCCACTCCTCTTTGACATGTATGTCTACGGTCCAGGCAATATGTGTGCTAACACAGGTATTAGGTCAGATAGCGAGTATCTATCTTAATTGTTGAGTTAATATTGTGTTAGGTCATTAGTTGGGCTGATAAGTGGCCATTAGTTGGGTAATTGGAACTAACTTTTAGTTGTCAGGTGAAGTCTTTTTGGATATTTGATGCGTTTAAGGTACCTGTTATTAGTGGATGGTTATCTTTGTCCTGTTCTGTTCAATTAACTTCTGTTAATTAGGGCTGTTCATAAGAAGACCCAACCCGACCAAACCGACCAACCCGGACCGACCCAACCTGAGTCGGCTGGGTTTTCTTCAGCACCGGTCGGTTTCGTGAAAATCGAAACCGACCCGAACCGAACCGACTTAGTAGTTAGTAGTTAGTTCCTAGTTAGTAGTTACAACCTACTTAGTTCCTACTTAACTAAGTTGTCTCTATCCTAGTTACAACCCAACTTAATTTCTAGTCTTCTAGTTAGGAATGACATTAATGGAAAGTATTGTAAGACAACTAGACAAGGAATTTTTTTGGAAAATTTTAAAGAAAAGAATCAAAGGATCCTAGTTTCTATGGTCTTTTACACCAAATAGGCAACCAATTACAATTATAATTAGGTGTCCTTTTTTACTTAGATTAGAAGGTTTCTTGAAATATACAAATTTCAGTCTTCTTTCTCTAATACAGTTTGACTTTCTATTTTCTTGAGAACTTCTATTCTAACTTGGCCCGCCCCCCTTAGCCCCTCAACTCGAGCACAATCTCTAATACAATTTGACTCTCAAGCATGGTTGAACTTAGAGCCGAAACCGACCCAAACCGACCCAACCCGACTCAAACCGACCAGGTTGGTTTTGCTTAACACAAGGTCGGTTTCGGTTTCAATTTCAGGTAACCCGACCAGGTCGGGTCGGTTGGAAAAATCTCAATAAACCGACCCAACCCGACCCGTGAACAGCCCTACTGTTAATTATGGAGGATAGTTTCCCTTGAATAGAGCCACTGATCCCCAGTTCACTGTGTTAACCTCTTTCGTCCCATTTTCTTGAAATTTTTTTACACAGATGGGTAAAGGAAGGTACAAGGGAGTTAAAACTGTAGAGAGGATGAAAGTTAAATTTGTAATTTTACCTTTATTTGGCTCTTTTGTATACTTCTTTGTACACTTCTGTACTTATCTATTATTGTAAGGGCAGAACTGTCCATCCACATATTAATATAAATATAATTCTTTCTGGGCATGTCAGACATAGAACACACCCACCAATTCGTGTGACTCTCTTGTTTCTTCTTCTCTTCAACTGGAACTGACGTGGTATGAGAGCAGGTTGCTCTTTTAATCATCTTCTTGCTTCTTTGTTACTCTTTGTGGGCAGTAATTTCATCCCTCTACTGAGATCTACTGGACTCTTCAACCGGTGGAAGTGTGTAGGGCTGTTTTGATCAACCCTACCTGCTGTTCAGAAAGAGTTGCACAATCAGCAAGAGAGATTTCATTAGATCTCTCTTGGGAGACCTCAGATCAAGGCCAAACTGCAGAGTTGGTGTCACCTGATCTGATCTCTCTTCTGTACAAACCTCTCTTACTTTGGTGAAAGATTTGAAGGGGTTTTGATCCTCTCCCTTGGGTGGCTGCTAGTTACAGTTTCCTTTTTTGGACTATCATTTGTTTAGACTGAAGTTTCAGACTTTGCTTGCTCACCCTAAGGGGCAGAAACAATGGAAAATCAATAATGCCCAAATACTTTCCTTTTTTTGGACTGTCATTCGTTTATCTGGATGGTACCACAACCATCTCTGATGTTACAGATGCTAAAGGGCTGAAACCAAGGTTTTAAAAACTGACCCGGAAATGGAACCATTCTAGCTACCGGTTTCCGGGTCAGCGGTTCGACCGTCTGGGTCGAACGGTTTGCATTAGGGCAAGATAGCAAATAGTATATGAGAAAGGAGAAGTGGAGAAGAGAGTCTTTTGTCGGATGAGAGAGAAGAAAAGAAGGAAGGAAATAAAGGGAAATGAGAGAAAGAAAAGGAAAGAAAGAGGGAAGGAGGGAAGAAGAAGGAAGAGGAGGAGAATGATTCGACGCTCACCGGCGACGACGAGATGGCGACGGCGCTAACAACGCAGATCTGAGATCTGAGATATGAGATATGAGTTCTCAGATCTCAGATCTGAGATTGATTTTTCTTTTTTTCTCAGATCTCATATCTCAAATGAAATTTTTTCTCAGATCTCTACAACTTTTTCTTCTTCTTAAACCGCGAACCACTGTTCGGGTCAAACGAATCGATGGTTCGACTGCCCGGGTCAGTGGTTTTCTGACGAAGTCAATGGTTTGGATCAGGGGTGAAACGGAACTGGTTGCTTGGACGGTTTCTGGGCCAAACGGTTTAACCGTCCGGGTCAGTGATAGTTCAAAAAATTGATTGAAACAATGGAAAATCAATAATGCCCAAATAGTTTCCTGGATTTGAGTTCATTTATTGTTGATGTAGCTATTCCTATGAGGGTAGAGAAAAATACATGAATTTGTGGACAGAATGTGAGCTTGTTCACCTTGGGGCCACAATGTGTGCTTGTTCACCTTGGGACCACAATGTGAGCTTGATGTATCAGCAAACAAATATGTCCAGACAATATCAGATTGAAATGGACATATTCTCATACACCCAGGGGAGAGAAAAATACATGAATTTTATGTTGTTTTTGTTAATTTGTGGACAGAATGTGAGCTTGTTCACCTTGGGGCCACAACTACTGATTGTTGTGTGTAAACTATGAAAAAACATATCAATCAAAGTAAGATTATGCATTTTAGACCCGATTATGAGTTGATAAGGTCCAACATACTCTATAGGGAAAATGTGCTTGATCTGGACACCATATTAGGTGAACTTTTAAGGGAGAAAACTAGACTGTACACGCAGTCCTCCCTCGACAGCAAGAAAGAACATGGGCATGACACAGTGTTTCTAGCCACCAAGCCAAAAGGCAAAAAGGACTTTTCCAAGATTCAATGCTATGGGTGCAAGGAGTTCGGACATGTGGCCTCTCAGTGTAAGGAATTTTTTGTACCTATTGCAAACAATAGGGCCATATTATTACTGAATGCCCTACTCGACCTCCCAAGGAGGGTCAACACAAGGCACTTCAGACAGTTGTAGAGTCTTCATTTGATATTACCACCACCCCCACTTAAGATTCAAAGCGGGAATCTTCTGGTACCTTGATTGAAGAGAAGATACAACAACTTATGTCTTCAGTTATTTCATCTGCCTTCTTTGCTATTGGCCTGTTTGGTAAGTCTTCTACCACTTGGTCAGACTCTTAAACCCTATTCTTCTAATGACTAGATTATTACTGTTAGTGGTGAGTCATTAAAAATTGTTTTTGTGACGATTTATTTCTTTCTACTTCTCAATCATCTGCTTTCCACCTTCCAAAAACCTTATTCCTCAATTAACAACCAACCTTATTCATGCGGATCAACTTGTTGATGATGGTAACTTGGTGTTGTTTTCTCATCTTGGTGGTGTTATATAGGACCAACGTGCTGGGGTAGTAAAGGGGAAGGGGCGTAGGCTTGGGAGGTTGTTTGCTCTTGAGTTTGAGAAGAGATCTTTGTCCCCGACTTCTTGTCTTCTATCTACTATTAGTAATGTTTTACATTCTTGTTGTAATAATGTGTGGCATTTATGGCATAGACATTTAGGCCACACACATGGATCATTTAATTTCTTCAGGTTGCTTACCTATTGTTGTTTTTGTTTCTAAGAACATTGATAAGTCTTGCATAACTTGTGGTCTTAGTAAAAGTCATATTTTACCTTTTCCATCTTTTGTGCATGCTACTCATCCTTTTCAAGTAATACGTAGTGATGTTTGGTCGTCTCCTGTTATATCTAGATTTGGATACAAATATTTTGTTTTATGTATTGATGATTGCACTAGATATACCTGGGTTTAATTTCTCTGGAAGAAATCAGAAGTTCTTTCCACCTTTCAGAACTTCCACACCATGGTAATGGCCCAACATAATGCACCATTCGTATTCTACGTTTTGACTCGGGGGAGAATATTTTGATAGTGATAATGGAGAGTTCTAGACCTATTTAAAGAAACATGGTATTCTATCCCAAAGGTCTTGCTCAAGAACTCCTCAACAAAATGGAGTTGCTGAACGCAAGAACCGACACATCTTGAGTATTGTGAGATGTTTTCTGCTTGACTCCCATGTTCCTATTATCTTTTGGGTGGAGGCGGTCAACACTGCACCAATGCCTATGCCTCCACCTCCATTGACTCCAGTGCCTGCTCCTCTATCATCCTCAGTCCTTGTTCCATCCACATTTACTTCTCATGTAAGTGATCCTTCACCTGCTACTCCCACTCCTTTATGACTTTCTTCCAGAGTTTCTCGTCCTCCTGACCGTTATGGATTATTTGCTATCCATAACTCCCTTTCTGCTACTTTGTCTTCCACCGATATCCCAAAGTGTTACTGACAAGCTGCAGCAATTGGGCATTGGAAAGCTTCAGTGGACTAGGAAATTCAGGCCCTATTGGAAGATGATATTTGGGAGCTTGTTTTTCCTCCAGCAGATGCCTCCATTATTAGTAGCCGTTTCCTTGTCATGCCCACATGGTATAAGCTTTCATATTTGCAAGGGTACACCTCTCCTCAGCAGAATGTCCCCGGTGAGACATTTATCCAGAACAACAGTACATGGTAGAAAAGCTGCCTTTGTGGGAACATGAGATAACCAGATGGCTGAATGATGGAAACTTGAACTCTAAGAATTACATAATTGGTGATAGAATGATTTGACAGAGAAGATGCTTGACCTATACCATTTCCAACACCTTGAGTTCTCCTGATCTGGTGTCGGATTGCTGTTGTTTATTGTTGTGTGTATAGCTGTCAGATCCTCTATTTTGCAATCGTTGAGGTTTCTTCTAAATAATGAGCACCAAAAATTTCCCTATTTTATATTTCATATGAGTCCATGTCCACCACCCTAGCCATCCCTGTTTGTTGATATTTTGAATAAGGAAAGAAATCGATCCATCAGGGGTCTGCTGCTGCACCAAGCATCTCTCCAAAAGCTGATCCTGTCTTCAACTCCCAGTTTTAGTTTAATAGCTTGGAGGAATTTCCTCAACCCTTTCCAAATAGAGCTGCCATAGGGGCTTTCATTTACCCGTGTCCCAATTAAAATTTCTGGATCCAAACTTCTCCGATATTATCTGCCTCCAAAGAAGCTGAGGTTGAGAATTGAATCTCCAAAACCGTTACCCTATAAGGGCTGTATTCATTTTCCACAGCTTTTTGATACATAAACCACTGTCTGTTTTTGGCATGTATGGTTGTGCCCAACCACTGGGTGCATTTTATTTTTGTCCCGCCATTCTCTCCATAGGAAGTCTCTTGGAAATTTCTCTTTGCTATCTGCTACCACTGCTGGAATTGGAAATGATGACATATAACAGGTTGGTATCTGAAACATGGTACTCTTTAGGAGAGTTTTTTAGCACCTGCTGACAAATATTTGCATTTCCATATTGCCAACCTCCTTCCCATCTGCTCTCTCAGTGGGTCCCGAATGCATTTGTAATTTCCCACCTTAGAATATTTTCTACTCTTCCAACTCGACCTCACTTTTCACAGGTTAATAACCTTTGGCCCTGAGACAGCTTCAAACCAAATTAGCAACCATTTAAGATGCACAAGCTGCTTTCGCTCTGCTGGAGAAAAAATAAAGTATCATCAGCATATTATAGTAGTGTTACCATAGTTCCATGCTCGTTCACCCTGAAACCTTCTATTTGCCCTACTAGTTCTAAGACCTTGTAGTTCTCAGACGAAGCTTCCATTACACACATGAAAAATAGTGGGGACAAGGGGTTGCCTTGCCTTAGTTCCCTAGAGCTTTTAAAAAAACCTAGCAGCTTTTCCATTTATTAAGATTGAAAATCTGGAGGTGGAAAGACAAACTCTCATCCAGTTCCTCGATTCTCTATCAAACTGCATGTAGGCAAAAATGTAGTCCAAGAAGCCAGCCCCAGCTTACGTGATCATATGCCTTCTCTAAATCTACCTTGCGTATCTACCTCCCCATGTTGCTCTTCAATCTTGAATCTACTAGTTCATTGCCAATTAGTACCCTATCCAATAATTGCCTGTTACGTAGAAAAGCCCCTTGGGAAAAGGATATTAAGGTATAAGCTTCCTCTTTTGATTGGCTAATAGTTTTGTAGAAACTCCTCTAAAGTAGCAATTAAGCTACATTCCAAAGAAATTGTTTGGTGAAACTTCTCCAAAGCTTTCATACATCAGCGTTCACAAAATTCCAAACTTTTATGTAAAATAGAATAGTACGATCATGTCCCAGGGCTATGTCTCCACTTCTTGCACTTCAGATATGATCATAAATTGAGGTGCATCCATTAGAGGTCTTTGCTTGCATTCCTCTTTGAAAAGATTTTTATAGAATTCTTGCTATATTTCTTAAGCTCCCCTTCCTCCTCGTACCTCTGTCCATTTCCAGACTACTATATGTGTTTAATCTTCTTCTTTGAGGTTGCCATTTGGTGAAAAACTGCATGTTTTTGTCACTTACTTTTAGCCATGTTTTGTGAGTCCCTTGTCTCCACTTTGCTTCTTCTTGATAAGCAATCTTGTCATAAATTCCTTTGGTTCCTGTTCTTGTTAAGTAACTCCTGTTTCTTAAGTGCTTGGAGTTTTTTAGTAATTATGTGTGAAGCCAACCCTTCCCCCTGAATTGAGTCCCACCATCTTTTTAGACTTTTGTGAAAAGCCTGCTTCTTGCAGCCACCTATGTTCAAACCTAAATGGTTCATGAATTGGTTTACATTTGTTTCCATGCAAAATAAGAGTCCTATGGCCTGATAATGGCCTGGGCCCTGCCTCCTGATATAAATCAGGGCATTGCTCCACCCACTCAGAAGTTATTAGAAACCTTTCAAGCTTCACTAGCACTGGAACTTCTGGTTATTCATCCATGTGAACTTATCTCCCACAAGTGGTAAATCAACCAGTTCATGTCTATTGGTAAACTCCCTAAATCCACGCATTCCTGCTGTCCTTTAGTCACCCTTCTTTCCTTCCTACTGTATATTGTATTGAAATCACCTCCCTCACACAGTGGTAACTAGCCATCTGGATTTGACTTTATCTAACTATTCCCAAAACTTCACTTTTGATGTCTTCATTAATACTATGTACAACTTGTAATGATACTTCCCAAAACTTTCCAATGTAGCTACTATGGTCACTGAGTGAACACACTGTTCCAGTGTTCCAGACCACCAGAAACCTCCTGCTGATGCCTACAAAATGACCATATGCAGCACCAATTGCCACTTGAATTTTGTCTTTTGTGCCATGCATATTATATCTTACCTTTATTTGTTCTGTGTTTAATTACTGCTATTCTCTTGAAGAACTTACATAGGTGTTGATTTCTCATGATGCAGGACAACTTTGGTAGGTTACATGATAGAAACAAAGAGGTGCCAAAGGCAACCAAGCAGCTCACCCGATTATTCCCAAACAAAGTGACCATACAGCTGCCACAAGTATGGAAATTTACTTAAATGTTAGGGTCCAATACCCTTATTTTTCCATCTTTATATATAGAATGTGTTACTGTTTCTGGAATTTGTTTTAGGATGAAGCTTTACTTTTGGATTGGAAACAACGACTGGATCGTGATGTTAAAACACTTAAAGCACAATCAAACATTATTAACATCCGCTCGGTAAGTGGTGTATAATTCTTGTATTATACATTATAAAGTGTTTTATGTTTGGTGACAACTTGATTGGCATCTTGCATATTTTAACTTTATAATCTACCTTTCATGCGCTCAGGTTCTAAATCGAAATGGGTTGGATTGCCCTGACCTTGGAACACTTTGCATAAAAGATCACGCCCTTACAATTGAAAGTCAGTAATGTCCTTCACTAAATTTGCGCTTTCTCGTATAGAATTATTGAGCTGATATAAGCCAATTTTTTCTATGCTGCCTATAGGCGTGGAGAAGATTGTTGGTTGGGCTTTAAGTCATCATTTTATGAATAGAGACAGAGATTCACCAAAAGATGCTAAACTTGTGATTTCCAGTGAAAGGTTGACTTGAATTATGACTAATACCTTCTACTTGGTTGGGGAAAACATCAATTTGGCAGCCTCTATATTGCATTTTAACAATATTTTATTTCTGATATTGCAGCATTAGATTTGGACTCAACATCTTGAATAGTATCCAAAGTGAGTCTAAGAGCCTGAAAAAATCACTTAAGGTAAACCTATTTATGCAATCCCTTATGGTACTAATATAACCTTGTTTTGCTACCAATTAAAGAAAAACCATGCTATGCTTTTTGGTACAAGTTTAAGTGTTTATTTTTGAAATTATACTTCTAAATGTGAAATGGTTTTTGGCTTGATGTTTTTCAGGATGTTGTCACTGAGAATGAATTTGAAAAGAGACTTTTGGCAGATGTTATTCCACCAAATGATATTGGAGTTACCTTTGATGACATCGGAGCCTTGGAAAATGTGAAGGAGACATTGAAGGAATTAGTTATGCTTCCTTTGCAAAGGCCTGAATTGTTTTGCAAAGGACAGCTAACAAAGGTTTAATTTCCTAGTCCTTTTTCTAAGAAAATTTTCTTATTATGATACCCAGATAACTGTATATGCATAACATACCAATGTCAAATATGATATGTACCTAAATCCTAATACGACATTGGTATATTTCTACAAGTCATACTATAAAAAATCTATATATTTTGAGAAATGACATTTTGCTTAAAAAGCATGATATAAACATTGTTGTCAGGTTGGGAGTTAAAAATACAGAAGCTAAAGAACTACTTTGGGTCATAGTTTGAGGTCAAGGATCTAGGCCCCTTAAAGTACTTTCTTGGAATTGAGGTTGCTACTTGCTAGATCATAGAATGGCATCTTCATTTCTCAATGGAAGTACATTCAAAACCTTCTTGAGGACACAAGTAAATTGGGTGCTAAGCCAACAGACACACCTATTTAGAACAACCATAGGTTGGGTGACAATGAGGGTGAGCCTCTTTCTAATGTATGGCAGTTTCAAAGACTTGGCAGACTACTGTATTTATCCAATACAAGACCTGATATTTCATATGTTACGGAGTTTTGAGTCAGTAAATGCATTCACCTAGGACCACACACCTGGCTGCTGCAATAACGAGTTCTCAAATATATGAAGAAACATCATGGGTGAAGTATCTTGTTGTCTAACCATGGATGCTTGAGGGTGGAAGTTTATACAAATGCTGACTAGGCTGGATCAATGGAGGATTGGAGATGTACAATATGTTATCGCACCTTAGTTGGAGGTAATTTAGTGACATGGATTAAAAAGCAAACTGTTGTGACAATCCACTTATGCATGCAAGGACAAAACACATTGAGGTGGTGATGTAGGACCAACTCAGTTCTAGTCCTTAGAGAATGTTGAGTGGTCTTCTTTGATCAGAATTTTATGGCTGTTGATGGCTGTAATGGCTTCTTGAAGGAATACGAGAGAAAATAAGGATAGAAAGAAGAGAGAAAATACCTGGAATCACTCACAGGGTGCCTAGAATCACTCTGGGGCATGGGAATTGCTCATCGTAGTTAGCATAAGCTGAAGAAAACCCATAAACTTCATTGTAAAGCGTCCATACATATTTATAGACTCTAAACTCGCAATAATCCTTGGAGTCAAACTGTTAGACTCATAATAGTCTTAGGAGTTACTGTTAAACTCAATAATCCTAGTAGAATTCAAACTACGCTGTTCATAACTAGAAAAATTAAACCCTATCATTGGAACTCCCCCCCCCCCCCAGAAATTGCAAAATGACAAAAATACCCTTGGTGTTCAATTCAATCCAAATCCCAAGTACCATCACTATGCCATATCAAGGGCTTGGTGTAAGGCCTTCTTCCTGGAATAAGTCTTCAAGTATGTTGATTGATTCCTATCACCTCTTCCTGGCTTGAAAGAACTTGACCATGGTGAGTTATAAGCATGGTATGTTTCATAAAGATTTGGGTTAAGATGATGAAAATCTTCAGCAGTGATCCAAGAACTCTTAAACATAGGCTTGCCTTTCCACTTGACAAGGAATTTCTGATACGCTCTTGTAGCAGTGATCCAAGAACTCACCCCCCTTCCTCTTCATCCTCCTCCCAACCCCCCTCCTCTTAAGGAGGCTTACACCTCTTGCATTCTGAACTACTCCTCACACCTCTAGGTAGTGGAACGCCTCGCGTCACGCCTCCCCGTTTTAAAATATTGGTAGGGGTGAGCATGGGTCGGTTTGGTTTGGTTCCATGGCAAAACCTAGAAACTACCCTGTAGGGGTCTGTTCCAAGTTTTTGGAACCGAAACACCCTGTGAAGGTCGGTTCCAAGGTCAGTTCTGGCCTTGGCGGTTCCGGAGTCGTTTCCCGGTCTACCTGTGGAACTTGTTCTTTCTTTACTCGCCCCCTTCAAGAAAAAAATGAAATAATGAAATACATGTCATTCAAAATCTTGATTTTCAATAATGATAATATATAGTTTAAAACGTATATTATCTATATAGATTAAATTGAGTAATTTAATGTGTAGATTATCATAATATATTAATATATGGTTGAAAATTGTCATTATAATTTAAATTTTATAAATATTTCCTTTTACATTATTTATTATATACAAAAATATTAAAATGAAAACAAATGATCAAATCACTTATGTAACTCGATGGTCAAGTGAGACCATGGCTTTATAGCCATGAGCTTGGGCTCAAATCTTCACATCCTTAAAAATATTTTGGGGTTTATTTCAAAGCAAGTTCGGTTCAAAGGCCGGTTCCACCCAGGCCAAGCAAGGTTGGTTCATCATGTCGGTTCGAATAGGGTAAACCTATAGACCCTTGAACCGACTTGGATGGGGGGACGGTTCCAAGAATATGGTACCAAACCCTATCTTGTAACAGATTAGGTAGGGCCGGTTCGAGGTCGGTTCCAAGAAGAACCTACCCATTTGCTCACCCCTAGGTTCTAGAACTTATCTTCTTGATGATTTTGTAAGGACCGACACTCTTTGAGTGGAGCTTCTTGTACATACCTTTAGGAAGACCAAAGACACTCTGGCCGTATACGTACCATAACCATGTTTCCCTCTTGATAATTTGCCAACCGTCGATGAATATCAGCCCTAGCCTTGTATAGATCATTGACCAATGCAATTTTTCTCCTAACATCATCATGTATCTCTCTTATGTGCCTTGCAAATGCTTATGCTTCAATAATTCTAGCACGTGTATCTAGTGGTAAGGTAACTAAATCAATTGGCCACTTAGGCTGAATACTAGTCACCACTTCAAATGGACTTCTTCTCGTGGATCTATTTACTGAGCTTTTATAAGCAAACTCAGCTATTGGAAGCACTTGATCCCATCTAGAAGTATGATCACCAGCAATAACTAGACAAATTAAACCCTACCAGTGGACCCCACAGAAAGTTGCAAAATGACAAAAATACCCTTGGTGTTCAATTCAGTCCAAATCCCAAGTACCACCACTCTCATATTAGGGCCTGTTGTAAGGACTTCTTCCTAGAATAAGTCTTCAAGGGTGCTGATCAATTCCTATCAGGTGGATAAGCACTTCGTTTGTGAGAAGATAGAAAGTGGTGAAATATGTACCCCTTATGTGAACACAAGTTAGCAGTTGGGAGATGTATTCACTAAAAGTGTTGCTTGTGATCGATATACTCAACTTGTAACAAGTTGGGTATATATATTTATATATATATATATATATATATATATATATATATGACCCAACTTGCAGGGGAGTGTTTTTTAGGGGTGTTCTTATCTCTTTTTATTTCTTTTTGCTCTCTATTTGTAACTACCAGAAAAATATTCTATAGGATACTCATATCCGTATCCCTCATCTTACCCTTGTCATATCCAAGGTTCAAAGTATCAGAGGTGTATAAATTAAACCATGCGCTTGTTATGTTTTATTTAGTTTTTTTTTTTTTGGCTTATATATATTTTTTATTAAAAAAGGGGTACCCAAATGCACCTGTAAACAGGTGTTTTGGACCCCAAAAGATTGATACATTACACCCGATACGGGGCGTATTGTATCAATACTTTCAGCCTTGTTTGTATCTGCATAATGTTAAAACATTTCTCTTTTCCAGCCATGCAAGGGAATACTGCTGTTTGGACCCCCTGGTACTGGTAAAACAATGCTTGCAAAAGCTGTTGCAACAGAAGCAGGAGCAAACTTTATCAATATATCAATGTCAAGTATTACTTCAAAGGTTAATTGCAATCTGGTGTGGTATTTTTTCATCTATGCCTTCTTGTCTTCCTCTTCAATGTGACTTGTAACTTCATCTTCCTTACAGTGGTTTGGTGAGGGTGAAAAATATGTCAAGGCAGTGTTCTCACTAGCCAGCAAAATAGCTCCCAGTGTAATTTTTGTTGATGAGGTTAGTTGGATCGAACAAACATTTTGTTTTCTATGCAGATAGCTTATTAGAAACATTTTTTGCAATTGATAGACTTCTTATTTCTGCCTTGTGTACCTTTGGAATTTTCACATTTCCACTCCTTCCATATTATTCTGCCTGAATTTATCTTCTTTGTGATTATGTGTGTGTTTGGCTCATTGGTTTCCTATTACAGGTTGACAGTATGTTAGGAAGGCGTGAAAATCCAGGAGAGCATGAAGCTATGCGGAAAATGAAAAATGAGTTCATGGTGAACTGGGATGGTCTCCGTACAAAGGATAAAGAACGTGTACTGGTACTTGCTGCCACCAATAGGCCATTTGACCTTGATGAGGCCGTTGTACGGAGGCTACCGCGAAGGTAAATGGTTAGATATTCAGAAGTCCCTTTAGTTTCATGACATTCTTGTCTCCTTAACAATTCATTATTTTGATTATATATATGAACATGTTGCATTCAGATTGATGGTAAATTTGCCAGATGCTGCAAATAGAGAGAAAATTCTGAGAGTCATCTTGGCTAAGGAGGAAATGGCACCTGATGTTGATTTGGAAGCAATTGCATGTATGACAGATGGCTACTCTGGAAGTGACTTAAAGGTTTGTTTTTTGTTATTTACTTGTGATCTATAGTATCCCATCTTTCTTTAAACCTACAACTCTTGCATGGATTTAGTTCCTCATAATATTTTTTTACAGAATCTTTGTGTAACTGCTGCACACTGTCCCATAAGGGAAATACTGGAGAAGGAAAAGAAGGTCAGTCTCATTTTCTTTGAATCTGAATACTGCCAAACATTGTTATAATGTCTCTGCCAGATTACATGAGTTACTTATAATGGTGAAATTTGATTAAATGGTTCCTCTGAAGCATGGGACTAGCTGACTAGGGGTTCCTATTGGGAGGTTTACCAATGGAAGACTTTAACTAAGATTTAGAGGGATTGCTGGATACTTCCAGACATGGTTATGATATATTAATATGTCTCATCCAAATTACTCTGAACTAAGATGAAATATGAAAGAAATGCAAAAAGCTTGATGAGCGATGTTGTTAAAATCATACAATTTACAATATGATTCACGGTTTGATTCGTTTGATTCGTTTGAATCATGAATCCCAAGGGCTTCGATTTGAATCTTGTGTCCATCCTTTTCTTCAAAAATCTATTTCTTTTGTTTGAATCCTACAATTTGAATCATAAACCTTACAATTTATGCAATTCTTGTGATTCAAATCAATTCAATTGAGAACTAGTTCTCTACTTTGTCATTTATTTTGTTAATATTGAGGGGGCATTTGTTTTTGGGATTTTGAGAGGGGGAAAAGTTGGTCAATGGGATTGTGAATACCATTGACCAAGAAACCGTCAAAGTCAGATCGAAAAACTGAGAAAGAGAAAGAGAGAGACACAGCCGAATGGTGGGTGTGACGACTTGTTAGTCGACACCCTAAAAGAAATATTTATATTAAGTTGTAAAAGGATAGATCTGCCCTTAATATACATGAGAGATAATACAAAGAGAGATATACAGAAAAGAAAAGTAAAAGTACAAAAATAGCCCTACAGCTAGATTTCACCGTCTCTACACTCCCCCTCAAACTGATGCCTAGGAATAAGCATAAGTTTGTCCATGAGAAATAGATGCCGAGCCTGTGTCATTGCTTTAGTTAACAAGTCTACCAATTGGAGCCCAGAGGAGACATGAGGAAGAGATATGGTACCCTCAAGAAGGAGATTGCGAATGAAGTGACAATTAGACCTGTTCATGGGCCGGGTAGCCCAATGGCCCAGCCCGGCCCGCACCCCGGTCGGGCTCGGTCATGTAATTAGGCCCGCGGACCTGACCTCGGGCCTAACATAGTAAGCTTGATTGTGTTTCGGGCCGGGCTCGGGATTTGTCAAAAAAGCCCGGCTCGAGCCCGGCCCGGCCCGACTCAGCATTATATATTTTATAAAATATATAATATGTATTTTATATATTATATAAATAATATAGTATTTATTAAAATATATATTTATAATTCAATATATACATTTTTTATTCTTTTCTTTATAATCTCTCTCTCTCTCGCTCTATTCAGCCGCTAACAGTATGGGCAAAATTTCGGGCTCGGGCCCAAGCCCGAGCTTCGGGCTTTTTATGAGGGTCAGGCTCGGGCCCAAGTTGTAGGCCCGATGGTCAAGCCGGGCTCGAGCTCGGGCCTTAGAAAATTCTATTAATACAGAGTGAAAGCCTGGGCCGAGCCCGACCTGGCCCATGAATAGGTCTAGTGGCAATCAACTTCTATGTGCTTGGCGCGCTCATGGAAGACGGGGTTGCATGCAATTTTGATTGCACTTATGTTGTTTGCTTAAAAAGGAACAAACAATGGTGGCTCACTTAGTATTTCAAATAGAAGAGTCCGAAGCCATATGATCTCACTACACATGGAAGACATAGCCCTGAATTCAACTTCAGTGGAAGATTTGAACATAGTAGTTTGTTTCTTGCACTTCCATGAGATAAGGGAGTTGCCTAGGAAGACACACCAGCCAGTTGTGGACCGTCGGGTGTCGGGGCATCCAGCCCAATCAGCATTTGCATAGGCCATAAGATGAATGGGAGATGATGAGGAGAAGAATATCCCATGTGACAGTGTGCCCCGTACATATCTTATAATCCAATGAATTGCAGATAATTGTGGTTGTCTCGGAGAAGACACAAACTGACTTACTATCTGAACTGCATAAGATATGTTCGGCCGAGTCATGGTGAGATAGATTAAACTGCCCACTAGTTGATGATAAAGGGTAGGATCTTCAAGGGGAGACCCATCATCTTTGCTGAGTTTCAAATTCAGTTCTTGTGGAGTGTCCACAATCTTAGAATCACTAAGATTTGCCAATTTAACCAGATCAGCCGCATACTTTTGTTGATTAACAAAGTAGCCTCGAGAATTTCTACTCACCTCAAGGCCCAAGAAATATGTCAACAGTCCCAAGTCCTTCATCTTGAAGGATTCACTGAGTAACTGTTGTAGCCTAGAAATTCCTTCTATGTCATCCCCTGTAATAAGTATATCATCAACATAAAGGAGTAATATCGTTACTCCTTGCTTCAGTTAGGGTGAATAAAGAGTAATCAGAAGGACTTTGAATAAAGCCAGCATCTGTGATGACAGATCTGAACTTCTCAAACTAGGCCCTAGGAGCTTGCTTCAGGCCATAAAGTGACTTCTTCAGACGACAAACAAGCTGCAGATCTGTACAATATCCTGGAGGAAGCTTCATGTAAACTGTCTCTTTCAATTCCCCATGGAGAAAAGCATTCTTGATATCCATCTGATGAATTGTCCACTGTTTGACTACAGACACAACCATCAAAAGTCGTACAGTGGTCATCTTAGCTACAGGAGCAAAAGTCTCCTCATAGTCTATCCCATATTCCTGTTTGTAACCCTGTGCAACAAGCCTAACTTTGTATATGTCTAGGCTTCCATCAGATTTTAGTTTCACAGAATAGACCCATCGGCTTCCTGTGAGAGATGTCTCAGGTGGAGCTTTGACTTTGACCCAGGTGTCATTCTCCAAAAGAGCTCGAATCTCAGAATCCATTGCATCTTTCCAATGTGGTTCTGCTACAACCTGTTGATAAGATATGGGAATGTCTGTGGTAGATAAAATGGCAGAAAAGGAGCTATTGTCTGGTGAATAACCATAAGGTTAGGTGGACGGAAAATTCTAGAGGAACAGCGTAAAGTAGGAGCAATAGGTTCAAAGGGAAGGTCTTGAACACTTACTGAGGCAGCTGGAGTGACTGGATCAGCAATTGGAGGCGGAGCAGGGGGGGATGGAGACTGAAGAAGGCCGTTGCTTCCTGAAGGTCTGAAGTTGTTGCAGAGGTGACAATGGAGTATCCGATGTACCTGTAGAATCAAAACTATGTAGCAAGGAAACAAAAGGAGCTGGGAACTTCACAATATGTTTAAAGAATGATACACTTTCAAGAAAAACTACATTACGAGAAATTCGAAGACGATGAACCAAAGGGTCATAGCAAAGATACCCTTTATGTTCAGAGCTATACCCCATAAAAGCACGCAAAGCTGCTTGTGTAGTTAACTTTGTGCGTTCATGGGGTGGAAGGTGGACAAAACAAGCACATCCGAATACTCTGAGCATGGATAGGTCTAGGGATTTGTGGAAGAGTGATTGAAAAGGAGAGGATTCCCTCTTGGTTTTTGGTGCAGTGCTGGCCACCTCCACCCAAAACCAAGAGGGTACGTGGGAAACCTGTAAAAGGGTTTTGACTACACTCAAGATTATGCCCATTTTTCCTTTTTGCAACCCCGTTTTGTTGTGGGGTGCCTGGACAAGACTTTTGGGTTTGAATTCCATGTTTTAAGTAGTTTTGGAAATCTCCATCAATATACTCTCCCCTTGAATCCGATCGTAGCACACAAATTCGGGCATCAAACTGAGTAGCAACATATGTGTGAAAGTGTTGAAATACGGAGTACACGTCAGATTTCTTTCGAAGAAAATAGGCCCAAGTGAAACGAGTGCAATCATCAATAAAGGTTAGAAAATATTTAAAACACATCCGTGAGACAAGTGGAGACGACCAAACATCATTATGTATTAAATAGAAAGGGATTGTTGCATGTTTAGAATGAGAAGGAAAAGGCAAAATATGACTCTTACATAAGCCACAAGTAATGCAGTCATTATTCACATTTTTAAGAGAAACAGGTAAACTACCAAAGGAAAACAACTGATCAAGTTTCTTAGAGAAAAGATGGCCTAGTCGTTTATGCCACAACTGCCAATCTTTATTACAATTAACATATTCAAAACTAGAAGTAGTAGAAATCAAACATGAAGTAGAAGCAGGCACAGTTGTATTCTTCTCAAATTCCAAAGCAAAGAGTCTTCCCAGTCTACGCCCCTTCCCCTTAACCTCCCTAGTTTGTCGGTCCTGTATAAAACAACCATCAGAAGTAAATGAGACATTGTTACCTTCCTTTACAAGTTGGTCAATAGAAATTAAATTGGTGGTAAGCTTCGGGACAAATAGGGTTTTGGACAAATGAAATGGAGATGACTTAGAAGTAGATAAATATAAATTATCACATCCAAGTATATCTAATTTCTCACCATTAGCATTAACAATGTGTTTATTGGGGAGATGGGGTTTAGGACACTGACCAAGAGTGGCCCCTGTCATATGGTTAGAGGCTCCTAAGTTAATGTACCATAAATGGTTCAGTGAGGGACAGTAGGTAGGAGACTTACCAAACAGGCCCATAGCAGAGAAGGTTGAAGAGATAACAAAGGACATGAGCTGTCAAATTCGTTCTTCAGACATGCTACCTAAGGTGTCATTCTGTTCAGTCACAGAAGTAATGGAAGATACTACATCTGATCCATCTACACCTGTTTGATAAGCCTTGTAGCTTCCTTTCTTCTGATTTGATCCACTACTTTTCTGGGGCCGAGTGGAACATTCAGTGATAATATGGCCAACCTGCATATAGTAGGTACATGTATTCTTTTTCTTGCAGTGAGAAACATGTTTGAACTCGTTACATTCATAGCACTGTATTTTAGAGAAGTCCTTCCCTTTCGGTTTTGTTGCTAGAAAGACCGTATCAATGTTAGACTCCTTCCTTCCATCCAGAGTAGTCTGTGTGGCAATTTTGGTTTCGGCCCTCAAAATTTCACCAAGAATAGTATCCAAGTCGGGAAGTGTTCCTCAACTCAGGATATTAGATC